ATAACTAGGTCGAGCCGGTTATATTGTGATAATTATCCATAAAATATAACTATTTTTTTTATATTGAACTAAAAATTAGAGTTTTATATAGAATGTGATTGATTTTATTAGGTAATTTTTAGAGTTTTATAGAAATTATTTTTACAAAAACTATTTTTATATCAATTAATAAATATTTTTTTATATAAATAAATAAATACTGAAATGCTGAAACACTTTCCATGATTTTATTAGGTAATTTTCAATTAATAAATATTTTTTATTTTAATAATTCTTCTATAATTAGATTTACTTTTATTAAAAAAACTCATAATAAATAGATAAATAGGTAATTTGTGTTAGAGTTTTATAGAAACTCTTTTAAAACCTCTTTTTAAATCAATTAATAAATATTTTTTTATATTAACAATACTTGTCTAATTAGATTTCCTTTTATTAAAAAACTCATAATAAATAGATAAATAGGTAATTTGTGTTAGAGCTTTATAGAAACTCTTTTAAAAATTATTTTTATAACAATTAATAAATATTTTTTTATATTAATAATTATTGTCTAATTAGATTTTTTTCTTAAAAAACTCATAATAAATAGATAAATAGGTAATTTGATCCTCATAATGCACTTTCCTACGGAGTAATTCAAATTATTCACCATAGTTGATTTAATGTTTTTCACTCAAGGAGGTACTCTTTTTGGATACACATCATCCTTAGCTTGGATTTACTTTATGTTATGGACTTCGTTTTTGTACGTATACATGCAATGTGTTTAGCATGTTTTGTATAACTTTTGGGATGTTTGATATATAATATAACTATAGATTACATGGCTTATCTTTTGAAGGGGGGAAATGGAATTAGAACTTGTTAATCTCTTGATTGAGTTCAAGGACCATTCCCACTCTAATATTCTCTTTAGTATAACTAAATAAATGTTGTAATGAGGCCATTAGGTCATTTTGGAGCTACTGAATGGATTTCCATCTTTTATGTATATTTTTGTATTTAATACATGTATCATTTTTATTCACATTGCTCCTTATCATGTTCTTTTTACTTTAGGTTGGATTTATCTTGTATTTTCTGACCATCTGGACATTATAGGGACTTAGGTACTTAATATAGGTTGTATTGTGTGGCCATGGCACTCGGGAGGACTTTTTTTTCATCTCCTAGGAAGTTTCGGTCGATAGGCCATTTTTGGCTCGGGAAGTGAGCTTTCTTGCTGGGAGCACGTTTCGGCCAACTTACAAAGGCTGTCGGCTGACTAATGGTGTAGTTTCGATCTGCTGACCCTCACCAATATCAGCCAGCCAACCCTTCCTGGAACCCAACCTTTTCTATTTTTGGGACAACTTTGTGGTATAAACTTCGAATAGCCATATCTTACTCATTTTAAATACAAATTAGGTGATTCTTGAGTCTAAATTCAAGAATTTTGAGTCAGATTTCCAATGGTATCAATACCATTTTCAGATTCAATTCCTATTATTAAATATGATCGTTTTAGTGAGACACTGTCGAGATTTCGTTTGAACCGGGATAGGTTTTTCATGGGATATCGCTTCCAATAGCCTTAAGACTCCTTACGAGGATACCAAAGGATTATACTGGATTCATTGGATCTCATTTGACTTGTTGGGAGTCAAATTTCCTTATCTTAGGATAAAATGACCTTTTGTCTCTTAGGTCAAATTTCCTTCTTGTTTTTGGCTCTTTTCAACGTTAGCTTCCACATTCATTTTCTATTTGAGTCTCGTGACTTCTTAGAGGTCACTTTGTTGTCTTAGAGGTAGTGTTTATCTTAAGAGACCTCTTCTTTTTTCTTGCTTCCGCATTTCGGACTTGATATCGGGTCAGTTTTTGGGTTACTCGCTAACGCTCCGGGTTATGAAAAGTCGGGCGATCACAATAGATAATACACTATTAAGGTAATACATAGATAGAAATTTTTTATTAATTTTTTTAAGAAAGCTGAGAGAATATTCCTTAAAAGTGGGTTAAATGTGCACATAATACCTCTAAAGTATGAGATTATTAGCATACACGTCCCATTGGATATTTTCCAAAGAGTAAGAGAAAAACGAGTATCATTAATTTTGTCATAATTATTTTTAGGAGTATTTTCATACAATATCAAAAGAATGAGAAGGTTATAATACTTTTTTTTAAAAATATTGTGAAAGTGTTAAGAGGACAAGGGAGTATGAAGTAGGGTGTTTTCTCACCAATAAATTAATGTCCATAAATAAACTAGACAAAAATGCAAAAAACCTCCCTAAAGTATTATGAATCCGCATTTTACCCCCCTGAACTATAAAAACGAACAAGTCAGTATCACAACTATCAAAATCGTACAAATTAACCCCTGAAACGCAATTCCGGCCGACTTCACTGTAAATTTACAAAACTACCCATTGTAATTAAAAAAAAAATACCCTCAATGCCCCTCTGTTCTCAAGTCCATCTCCATCATCTTCTGTTCTTCTCTCTCTCATTCAAATCTCTCTCTCTTTCTCTCTCTCTCACACACACACACATACACACACTTGCATATACATCGGTGCTAGATAAATGGCACAAATGAGTCTTCCCCAAGGATTCAGGTTCCACCCAACTGACGAGGAACTTGTTGATTACTATCTAAATAGAAAAATAACAGGCCGTGTGATTGAGCTTGAAATCATCCCAGAGGTTGATCTCTACAAATGTGAGCCCTGGGATTTACCAGCTACGTACCTACAAATTTACTTGAATATATATATATATATATATAGAAATATCATTAATTTGATTGACTCTAAATTAAATTGAGTTGAAATCTGATATATATATTTGATTTGATGATGTGCATGTATAGACAAGTCATATTTACCTGACAAAGATATGGAATGGTACTTCTACAACCCAACGGATAGGAAATACCCAAACGGGTCGAGGACTAACCGGGTAACCAAAGCCGGTTACTGGAAAGCCACCGGTAAAGATCGGGTGGTGCAGTCGGAAAGGCGGCGGGTAGGGATGAAGAAAACACTGATTGCCCGGTTAGTCCTCCGCCGTGGAACAAAACATTGATTTATTTATAGAATGTGTGATCCTCCGACAAGCTTGTATTCGATCCCATCCCAATTCTTCGCCTAAACCACCACCTCCGCCGTGGAAACCCCATCCATGCTTTAATGGCGGCGCTGAAGCAGCGAGGTTGCCTGAGCAGCAACAATAGACACACACACACACACACATATATATATATATTAACATATATTCCGACCTCTCCACAACCCATCGCCGGCCCATGCCGCCATCGCCATCGCTGCACCAACAGGCCGAACCAGTCCTCTCCACAGCCCATCGCCGCCCATGCTGCCATCGTACCATCGCTGCACCAGCCACCTCTGATATGATTGGATCAAAACCGGTAGTTTTTTTCATCAATATAAATATATGTAAATATATATGTGTGTGTGTGTGTGTGTGGCTACTGTTACTTTTTTTCATCAATATAAATATATGTAAATATATATATGTGTGTGTGATTGCAAAACTGGTGGTCAACCACCTATCGATCTAAATGCTCCACCGGCTTCGGAGTCATCGAATTTTACTGGTATGTTTTGGTGCTTTTGTGCTCTCTTTCTTCTTCTTTTTTCTATTGATAGATCACAAAATTGAGGGGAAAGGAAGGAGGAATTGACTAATCAGAGAAGCCTCGTGGACGGACGAAGGGAAGTTACAGAACGGGGCTGTGAAGGCTCGCGGCACCGGTGGGAAGGAGAATTCGGCTGTGAGCTTCTCCATGTTTACCTCATTACGTGGCAGAAAAGTTAAAATGAATAAATAAATAATAATATTCATTAGTATTCGAGGGTAATTTCGGAACTAAAAGAAAAAAACAGTCACGTGCTGACCTTGTGGGCCGGAAAGTGGCCAGAATTGAGTTTCAGGGGTTAATTTGTACGATTTGTGATAGTTGTGGTGCTGATTTGTTCATTTTTGTTGTTCAATGGGGTAAAATGCGAATCTGTAATTTTTGTCAATAAACTATTTGAGAAAATTTTGGGATTCTCATTCCTTTCTAAATGGTACTTTTTTACGTTTTTTACGGAGCAAAACTCAAGCCCAGGATACCTTCCCAAAAAAAAAAACTAAAGGCCAGGATTCTTTTACAAGCAATTGGGAAATGTTTCATTCACACGACCTAACCTGGAAAACATTCCGAGCAAGCCAAATCGGCGGCGACGGTGACGACGAAAACTACCAAGCAGCCACAACGCCGCAACCACCGATGAGCGACCAAAATGCTGACAATGCCCCTTCACGATTGCAATTAGTCTTTTTACAAGCAATTTAGTGTATATCTCTTCATCTCTTTATTTTCGAAATTTTTTCTCTCATCTTTGTTTCATGCCATATGAGTTTTATATAATAATAGATGAATATTTTAGTTGAGATGAGTACGTTGTTGAGTTGTTAGGCAACCCTATTTCTTAAATAAAAAAATTAGTACATAAATAGAGTTTATGTCACTTGATTTCGTTACAACATTGTCAAACCAAGCTCGATCACAGCTAGGTAGAAGGTCGATTGGACACAAATCGAGCTCAGACACTACATTGACTTTGAACTGGACTTACCCATGTTAAAATTAAAATAATATCATGTTTGTCTTTTGGGTTTTCTCATTTATCTATTAGTGTATACATGTGTATCAAGTGCGTGCATGTAAGTTTATGCATGTATGTATCAAGTGTGTGGCTGAGAATTGTCTTGGAATATCTTTGTATTGTTGGGAAGTTCAATAGTTTTTGAGAGGACAATATATATTGTCTAAGGGGTCCGTAGTAGAAATCAATTCAATACAACGAGAAAAATATTTGTTGCTCTCTTTCTTTACAGCCAACAACCCAACCAATAGTTAAATAGCTAAACTCTATATTAGTTGTTAACATTGTTTTACCGGAATAGTTTTAGCAATTATATATTTTCAGCTCAGAAAAGTGATGGGTTCAATTTCAAAACGCCGGCGGGAGCATTTTGAGGTAACGAATGAAGACAGGATTAGTAATTTACCAACAAGTCTTATTGGCCATATCCTCTCTTTCCTTCCAACAAAGAAGGCAGTGGCAACTAGTGTCTTGTCAACCAAATGGAAGTACCTTTGGACCTCAATCACTATTCTAGACTTTGATGACGGGTTGGTACATGTATCGACAACTCCTCGGAAGGGTAGCAAGAAAAGGCAAAGTTTAGTGGAAATGAGCTTCGTAAATTTTGTCTACTGAGTACTTACACGTAATGTATCAGATTTGCAGAAATTCCGTCTGAATTGTACTGGGATTTATGATGTTTCACATGTTAATGTATGGGTTTCAACTGCACTATCACGTAATCCTCGTGAACTTAATCTTTCAAATATTGGGTGTTTGCCTCGTGAGCTTTATGCTTGTAGAAGTCTGGTGGTACTTAAACTGTGTGGTACACCGTACAGACTGCTTGATCTCAGTATTCCTACTTTGATTTGTCTACGGAGTCTTAAAATCCTCGTCATTGAATCAGTTGTATTTTTGGACGATGACTCAATTTATAGGCTGTTTTCTAGCTGCCATGTGCTTGAAGATTTGTCTGTAGAATTATGTGATTGGAGAAACATCAGTGTTTTTAACATTTCTGCTCCCAATCTCAAGAGTTTAACTATAAAGTGCCGGACTTGGACTAATGTCTCTGGTAAGTACAAGATTGTGCTTAATACACCAAATCTTCAAGACATTAAATATGAAGACTATGTAGCAGCAGGCTATTCTGGGAATAAATTAAATGGTATTGTCAAAGCTGACATTAGTTTCGTAAAAACATTCCCAGTTCGTGATGGATATAAGGAAAACCTTGCTATAGCAGAGTTTGTTGAAAGAATATCTAAAGCTCAGTGGCTTCATTTATCTAATTATTCTATAGAGGTTAGCTTGCTCAACTCTGTGTATTTATTTTTGATGTTTTTTTTTTTTTTTTGATTAAAATGCACAAATATTAATTAACTTGAATTCATTTTCTTTTTGCGTGAAACCTTCCAGTTCTGCAGGTATCGGTCTATAAATTTTGACTGTTTGACTTATTTGGAGCTTGGTGGTAATCACCAATATGTTGGATGGAAATTGCTAGAGAATTTTATGTTAATGTCGTCACGGCTGGAAACTCTTATATTTTGGGTAAAACACTAGTCTTGATCAAACCTTTTTGTTTTAGTTCAGAAAAATTAGTAGAGCAATTAAATTAGAGTCGTTTCATTTCTATTTAAATTTCTTGTCTGATTAGGGCCTTCCACAAGATGAACGAGAGGAAAATGAGATAACATCCCCTGAGGACGCCCCTTATTGTTTATTGTATTACCTAAAGAAATTGAAATTAAGCTGTTCGAAGGGAAGAGTGGTGAGCTGAAAATGGCAGAGTATTTCATGATGAATTCAAGTTGTTTAGAGAAACTGGCGATTCATCCTGCTTGGCATGTAGAGTTGTTGGAGATCTGCAAAAAAGTATTGATGTTACCGAGGGGCTCCAAGACTTGCCGAGTTGAGGTTCTTGAGCCTCTTTGATATTTTTCTTATGTTACCTTTTTGAAGGGCAGTGTGCGTGGTTAAGATATTAGTTTCATGCTTCCCTTGTGCTTCTGCTCTTAAGCAGTAGAAAAGGAGCTGTTGCTTCTATTTTGTTTATTAGTTAATTTTATCTCTTAAGATATTTAGTTTATTAGGTAATTATATATTATTGGCAGATGCAACAACTATTTATCAAAAAAAAAATAGCAGATGTAAAAAAGTAGCAGATGTAAAAACTGTTATATTTTCATGCAACTTCCCAGCCGGATTTGCAGCCTTCCATGTCACTGGTGTTGATGTACTTAATTTTATCTATCTCCCCCCGGCTACGTCGCTGGGCTCTCTCTCCGGCAACGTGGCTGGGGCTCTTGATTTAATATTGTCATTGTGACTGATCTCTATATGTGTGTATAGGGGCGTTGTGACTCAAATTCAGACACAGAATTTCAAGCACAATGCCCAACCAGTTGATGAAGATCTTTGTTTAAGATATTTGTTGCTTGGAAATGGTTGGAATTTTATGTTTTTCACTGAACAGAGTAAGGGGCACGCTTTGTCTGGTATATGAAACTTTAATTAAACCATATATCATGGCTTCTCTTAAATTTGATTTTGTAAAGTCGTTTTTAATTACTTCATGTAAGTTTTGATTAACCCTTCGGTCGTTTACCTTTTAGACAAACAAATCTTCGTCTTCCAAGTGGTATATCATCGGATGAAATTAAAGTTCCTCTAATTTATATTATTTATAGGCAATATACCTAATGTTACCCCGCACACGTTCTTTATTAATCTTATCCCTTATAAATTCTATCATTCATCATAGTATTTCATTTCCGCTACATTAATGCATTGTTCTTTATTTTTCAATGTTCAACACTTTATTATATAGTTGGCCAAATGACTACTGTGTATAATTTTCATTCTAATTTATTTGATATTTGATACACCTAGCTTACCTCCAATCCTTTCTGTATATTGCCTATAATTTTAGACAAACAAATCTTAGTCTTGATCAAACCTTTCTCTTAAATTTAATTTTGTAAAGTCTTTTTTAATTACTTCATGTAAGTTTTGATTAACCCTTCGGTCGTTTACCTTTTAGACAAACAAATCTTCGTCTTCGAAGTGGTATATCATCGGATGAAATTAAAGTTTCTCTAATTTATATTATTTATAAGCAATATACCTAATGTTACCCTGCACACGTTCTTTATTAATCTTATCCCTTATAAATTCTATCATTCATCATAATATTTCATTTCCGCTACATTAATGCATTGTTCTTCTGTATTTTTCAATGTTCAACACTTTATTATATAGTTGGCCTAATGACTACGGTATATAATTTTCATTCTAATTTATTTGATATTTGATACGACTAGCTTGCCTCCAATCCTTTTTGTTCACCATGCAACACTCTAACCATCTATCACCACATCTTTTGTAAATTGATCCTAAGTAACAAAAGTAGCTATTTTGTAATATTTATATTGTCACCATTTGTTATTTTATTGAATTTACATTTCATCTGTATATATTTAGTTTTACCAATTTTTAAGCCTTTTGCTTTTAAGGTCTTCATGTTTTCATTTTTGTCACTAAGGCTTCCTTTGATTTATGTACTACGACTATTTCATATATATATTTTTTAGGAATATTTTCTTAAATATTTTTTATTTTTTTGTCTAACGCTATCGAAAATAAGTATGGACTGAACACTAATCATTGGTGTAGTCCTACTATTATAGATAATTCACTAATAGTACAAAGACTATTTATGTACTAAGACCATTTATCTATATATTTCATATATATAGATATATGTACTATTATAGATAATTCGGTAATAAGTATGGACTGAACATCTATCCTTTAATTTATGTATTAAGACTATTTCATATATATATATATATAGGAATATTTCCTTAAATATCTTTTATTATTTTGTGTAATGTTTTTTTATAAATCGGTACTATTGTCCTTGTTTATGTGTTGATTTTGAAGTCGATAATAAATTTATAGTTTTATAACTATTAAATTTAATCCCATCAAAAAAAATTTTTAAAGAACATTTGGACCTGTTTGATTCAATTCTCTGCATTTTTATAAAATTGCAATCAAATAAATTTCTCTTTCTAATTATCAAAGGTGAACCAGGCCATTCAATTTCAATTTCAATTCCAATTCATAGATGAAATGAAATAGCCCAAATCCAATTTAAATCTAGTCCATCCCTACAAAATGAAATAGCCCAAGCCCAAGCCCATATAGTTCCCAAACTCATTGTCCATGGAATCCATCTCTCTCACACACACAACCTAACCTAGCGGACATTTCCAAGCAAGCCAAATCGGCGGCGACCAAAACGCCGCAACCACCGCCTGGCAACCACCGATCGACGACCAAAACGCCGACAACGCACCTTCACGATTGCAATTAGTTGATTTCCAAGCAGTTTAGTGTACATTTCTTCGTCTCTCTCTCTATTTTCGCAAATTTCTCTCTCATCTTTGTTAAATGCAGTATGTGTTTGATGTACTACATGCATGCTTGAGTTGAGATGAGTACTTTGATGCGTATGTTATTTGATACATGCACTTTGAACCAATGTACATAAATTCAATCACAATCAAAATGTTAATACATAAATTGAGTTCATATCACTTGATTTTGTTCAAGCATTGTCAAACCGAGCTCGATCATAGATATTTAGAAAGTCGATTGAACAAAAATCGAGCTGAGACACTCCCCTGAGTTTGAACTGGACCTACCCAACCAATAGTTAATAGTTGAGTTCAAAAGTCTGTAGACATTAGCCATATAAGTTGTTCACATTGTGTTGTGTGTGCGCGCGCGCTTTTTTATTTATTTATTGATTATATTGGCAAGAAACACACCACTCACGGACCCACTTTTGCCTCTTTGAGGATTCAAACCCTCACCATCCACTTTGGGAGATAGAGGAAGGTGGAAGAGCTAGGCCACAAGCCCTTGGCAGTTGTTCACAATGAAACTTGGTAGTTGTTCACATTGTTTCATTGGTATTATTTTAGAGTTTGTTGAAAGAATACCTAAAGTTCAGTGGCTTCATTTATCTAATCATTCCATAGAGGTTGGTTTGCTCAACTCCGTACTTCTATTTATTGTTATAAATATTTTTTTAATGCCCAAATATGCTTGAGTTTGTTTTCTTTTTGCATGAAGACCTTTCATTTTGCTGGTTTCGATTGCTAACTTATTTGGAGCTTGGTTCGAATGACCAATGTGTTGCATGGAAATTGCTACTGAATTTTGTAAAATGCTCGCCACAGCTGGAAACTCTTATTATTTGGGTAATTCATTAACTGTGTTGATCAAATCACTTTGTTTAAGTGGAGAAAAATTACTTCAGCAATTAAATTGGAGATGTTACTGTTTATCTTATTAGGGACTTCCACCAAATGATGGAGAGGAAAACCAGACGACATCCAGTTGGTATCAACCTCCGATCGTGCCTTCTTGTTTGTTGTATCACCTAAAGAAAATTGAAATTAAGTGGTTCAAAGGGAAGAGTTGTGAGCTGAAAATGGCAGAGTATTTCTTGATGAATTCAAGAGTTTTGCAGAAACTGATGATTCATCCTCGCCGCAGTCAAGAGTTGGAGATTTGCAAAAAACTATTGATGTTACCAAGGGGCTACAATACTTGCCAAGTTGAGGTTCTTTGATATTCTCTTATCTTACCCTTTTTTTGTAGAAATTTTATTTTGCGAGTTGAAGGGAGTGGGTGTGGTTAAAGATATTATCTTGTTTTATGCTTCCTTTTGCTTCTACTTTTAAGCACTAGAAAAAGAGTAGTTGCTTCTATTTAGTTCATTACTTAGTTTTTGGTTAGTGTTTGTTAACTTTATATTATTAGCATAAGTAGAAGCTGTTGTATTTTCATGCTACTTTCCCTGAAATAGGGCTGGACTTGCAGCTGTCCATGTTATGTAAATATACTACTTCTTTTTTTAATCATAAAACCAGAGATATCGAAGACTGGAATCATATATGTTAAGGATCTGAAAATGGATATCAACCCTCCATTGAAAATCAAAGAAAATGCATTTCAACAACATGGAATCGTAGGGAGCGAGAGGGAGAGATAGGATAAACCCTAACATAAGATGCATTTAGGGCTAGTGTTGAGGGGAGAGAAGAGACAGCTGAAATGATGAGATCTTTGTTGCTTGGAAATGGTTGGAATTTCATTCTTTTCACTCAACAAGATAAGGTGGTGGATTATAGGATGTTTTAAGGTCAACAAAAATGAAAGAAAAAACAAATGCAGAGGTGGTTTTTCAAAGGCATCCCAAACAAGGCCTTATAATGATGTTATATATAACTTTTCATTTTGTCAAATTACTTTTGTTGCTCCTACTGTGATATTCCTGGGATACTGCAGTTTTTCAGTACATTATCCTTGAAAGGTAGGTCTAATTGAGGTAAAATCCTACTTTTATGTCGAAAAACGCATTTCCTTTTTTATCCTTTCATTAATAATATTTCACACAAAATATAAAATATTATCATTGATATATTAACCTGGTTAATACTAAATATTTTTACTGCTAGTTGACTCTCTTTAAAAAAAAAAAAAATCCCTGCTGCTAGTTATTTCAATAGACAACATTATTCCTTTTTGGGTGTGATTGGTTTCATTTTAGTCTCCATTTGTTGAAGCTAATTAGGACCAACCTTCTCCTCGTACAGATATTTATATATATATTATTTCTATAAAGCGTCGGTGTTTTATCATGAACATTTCAATTGTCAAAGAACCTTTTTTTACCCTTTATATATATATATATATACATATATATATGTATGCGTGTATATATATATATATATTTTGAAGAAAAATCATTGGTGTTTTATCATGAACAATGTTATTCTTTATTCTCTTTTTCAAAAGGCGACTGATCCATCAATTGCAGAGGCTAGTACTACAAGATATACCCACAAGAAAGAGTCTCGAGTGTGTTGGTATTTTTTTACTTTCTAAAGTGAATTTGAAGGTATTCAAAAAAGCAAAAATAATAATAAAAAAATAAGTTTCAAATAGTAGTCGCATGACCCATTTTACAAAAAATAAAAAAAAATAATGTGCATACTTGAATTTTTTTTTTTTCAGTTGATTGGCGGATTCTTCAGCCTTCTTCATGCACATATTAATCAATTTTTTGTATTTTGTCGTAAATGGAGACCATACGAGGTTACCTATGTTGAGATAGGGTTGCACCCTTATGTGCTCTTAATTGAATAAATTATAACAAAGTATAAATAAAGGAGCCAATCTCAAGTGTAGCCTAACTTGGCTTATTAATTCTACTTATTTATCCATTCATTTTAAACTCGAAGACACGGTTTTATCCTCTTTAGAGAGTCGGGAGCAAATTCTCTAATATGCAGTTGTCACGAAGTTTTTTGATGTTTGTTTTACTTGACTAACATTTGACCACGTGAGTCTTTGCTTTACACGGTTTGAGATCGCGTTTGGTTAGATGTGACAATTACAAAAGTGAAGAATGTTGACTTATTTGTTATTACATTCACCTTAAATAAAAGAAAATTTATATAGTATAAATTAACTAATGTCACATATTTAATCTAATTGTTGTTATTTAAAGTTAAATTTTACTAAAAAAAAATTACAGCAACCAAAAAAATACTTTTATATGTTAATTTAAATAGTTTCGTCCCAAAATTAAAGTGTTTAGACGACATACAAAATATTCATAGTGAAGGATTCAATTAGAGTGGCGCAGGCACCAATAGAAAGAATAATGGTCAGAAGATGGTTATATATGTAACAACCCAGAAAGAAAAGCAAGGACTTGCTGATGTGTCTGCTGGCGTGGTTCGAACAGGTGGTCCTGCGGTGCGGGTCCTTCCAGACTTCTACTCTTGAACAGCGTATGGGAGAGTTTAGCAAAATAATATTCACCACATGAGACAACAGGGCAAAATGACTTCAGAGGATTGACGCCCGCCTCTCTGTTGTTAGTAGGATAGGCATGCCATTGCTTGGAATTATCCAAAACCCAATTTCAATTTATAGAAAGGAAAAAGAAAAAAAAAATTGCTTGGAATTAGCCGAAGCCCAATTTCAATTTATAGAAAGAAAAAATAAAATAAAATAAAAAGAAAAACCAGTGGAACCTTACCACGTTTATATTATAGTATTATACCATCACCCTAGTGAATTTTGGTCTAAAGTCAAGTTCAAGACTGGTACTTTGAGAAGAAATAGCCTAAGGTCATTCTAAAATGAAATAGGCCAAGCCCAAGCCCAAGCCCAAGCCCATATAATCCCCAAACCCATTGTCCGTCTAATCCGTCTCTCTCTGTGTGCCCTCCAACCCCTCCCTCCCTCAGTCCAGACATTTCCAAGCAAGCCAAATCGGCGGCTACCAAAACGCCGACAACACTCTCTTACGACGGTTGCAATTAGTCGATTTCCAAGCAGTTTAGTGTATTTCTCCTCATCTTTCTCTTTATTTTCGCAAATTTCTCTTTCATCTTTGTTTCATGCCATATTTGTTTGATATAATAATAGTTGAATATTTGAGTTGAGATGAGCACTTTGATGGGTATATTATTTGATCTCAGCTATGTCTTTTCAACTTTTCCATTGATATATAAACACATTGAACCCTGTACATAAATTTAGTCTCAACTCTATTTCTTAATTAAATACTGTATATCTCTTCATATTTCTCTTTATTTTCCCAAATTTCTCTCTCATTTTTTTTTGATGTAATACGCGAATGTTTGAGCTGAGATAAGTAATTTGATGTGTATATTATGTGAGAATGCTGTTTCTTAATCAAAGTACTAATACATAAATGGAGTTCATATTACTTGATTTCGCTCGAACATTGTCAAACCGAGCTCGATCATAGCTAGGTAGAAGGTTGATTGAACATGAATCGAGCTCAGACACTCGTTTGAGTTTGATCGAGACTTACCCAACCAGTAGTTAAATAGTTGAGATAAGTATTTTGATGTGTATATTATGTGACAACCCTTTTTCTTAATCAAAGTACTAATACACAAATAGAGTTCATATCAGTTGATTTTGTTCAAACATTGTCAAACGATCATGGCTAGGTATAAGGTCGATTGAGCACGAAATGAGCTCGGACACTCCTTTGAGTTTGATCTAGACTTACCCAACCAGTAGTTAAATAGTTGAGTTCAAAACTCTATATAGACATTAGACATATATAAGTTGTTCACATTGTTTCACGGGTATTATTTTTGCACTTCATTTTTATTTTTTTTATTTTTATTTTTATTTTTGGCAGGAAACGTCACACAAGTGATGGATTCAATTCCAAAACGGCGGCGGGAGCATACTGAGGAAGTGAATGTGGAAGGTAATGAAGACAGGATTAGTAACTTACCAACAAGTCTTATAGGCCATATCCTCTCTTTCCTTCCAACAAAGAATGCAGTTGCAACTAGTGTCTTGTCTACCAAATGGAAGTACCTCTGGACCTCAATCGCTACTCTAGACTTTGATGACGGGTTGGTAGATGTATGGCCAACTCCTCGGAAGAGTCGCAAACAAAGACAAAGTTTAGTGGAAACGAGCTTCATAAATTTTGTCTACCGAGTACTCACACGTAATGTATCAGATTTGCAGAAATTCCATCTGAAATGTACTCGGAGTTATGATGTTTCACATGTTAACATATGGATTTCAACTGCACTGTCACGTAATCCTCGTGAACTTCATCTTTCACATATTGGGAATTTACCTCGTGAGCTTTTTACTTCTACAAGTCTGGTGGTACTTAAACTGGTTAGTTCATGGTGTCGGACAATTGTTCTCAGTGTTCCTATTGGTTCATGGTGTCGCACAATTGTTCTCAATGTTCCTACTTTGGTTTGTCTACGGTCTCTTAAAATTCTCGTTATTGATTATTTTAAATTTTTGGATGATGACTCAATCTATCGGCTCTGTTCTAGTTGCCCTGTACTTGAAGATTTGTCCATAGGAAACTGTGATTTGGGAAATATCAGTGTTCTTAACATTTCTGCTCCCAATCTTAGGTTTTTAACTATAAATTGCTGGACTTCTTGTTATCAATTTGGATGTTCCTGTGATTCCGATTGTAAGTACAAGATTGTGCTTAATACGCCAAATCTTCAACACCTCAAATACAAAGACTTCGCAGCAAAAGGCTATTCAATGAGTAAATTAGATGCTCTTGTCAAAGCTGACATTAGTTTCGTAGAAAGATGTTGTGGTGTTCGTGATCGATCTATTGAAAAACTTGCTAAGGCAGATTTTTTTAAAAGAATGACTAAAGTTCAGTGGCTTCGTTTATCTATTGATTCTATAGAGGTTAGTTTGCTACCCTGCATCTATTTTTTAAGATACATATATAGTTATATGGGTGGCTGTCACTTCAAAATATTAATCAACACGCGTTCCATTTTTTTTTTTTTTTTTTGCATGAAGGTCTTCGAGTTGTGGAGATTACTACAGTGTCGCCATTTGATTTATTTGGAGCTCGGTAATCAGCACCAATATGTTGGATGGAAACTACTACTGGATATTGTTGAAAGATTGCCACTGCTGGAAACTCTTATTTTTGGGGTAAAACACCGACTCTTTTTTCAAACGACTTTGTTTTAGTGGAGAAAAATTACTTGAGTAATTAAATTAGAGGTGTTACTGTTTATATTTCTCATTTGATTAGGGACTTTCACGAGAGGGAAACCAGACGACATCCTGTTGGTATCAACCTCCAAACGTGCCTTCTTGTTTGTTGTAGAAAATTGAAATTAAGCTATTCGAAGGGAAGAGTGGTGAGCTGAAAATGGCAGAGTATTTCTTGATGAATTCAAGATATTTGGAGACACTGATGATTCATCCTCGTCGGGGTGAAGAGTTGGAGATTTGCAAAAAGCTATTGATGTTACCAAGGGGCAACAAAGACTTGCCGAGTCGAGGTTCTCTGATATTTTCGTATGTCACCTCTTTTGGAGAAATTATATTTTGTGAGATGAAGGGAGTGGGTGTGGTTAAGATTTTATCTTGTTTCCTGCTTCCATTTGTTTCTACTGGTAAGCAGTAGAGTAGTAAAACAGTAGTTGCTTCTGTTTAGTTTATTAGTTAGTTTTTGGCAATAACATATTATTAGCTGTTACATTTTGCCCGCAGCATTCCCTGGAATAGCCTGGACTTGCAGCATTCTATGTTATGTTTACTGTCAATGAGATATCAAGGACTGGAAACATAGATATTAAGGCCCGTTTAGCATGCGTTTTGTATTGGTTAAAATAGAAACAATGTTTTTGCTATAGAAGTGTTTTGAAAAAAAAAACTGGAAGCACGTTTGGTAATGATGTTTTGCTGTGAATGTTTTGCTACTGTTGTAGCTTTGGGCCATGAATCGTTGTCAAAATAAAAAAAAAAATAATTTTTTTGGTGTTTTGCTTTTGGGCCTTAGCACTGTGTAAAATAAAATAAGGCTGTTCCGAATATGTTTTTGTTGTCAAAATTAACACAAAAACAATAGAAACAAAACGCATGTCACACGTACTCTAAAAACTGGCATGATTCTGATTTGGACCTGTTCGGAAATTGGGGTGATTCCAATCTGGGCCACTTTGAATTCCTATCTGAAATTTCTTTTGTGGGCTAGATTAGGCTTCTTTCGTCTTATTCCTAGCCTTGGTTTTTAGCCCAAAGATTGTTGATGGGCCTGTTCGGTGTATAAATAACTTTTTCTTTTGTTCTTTTATGTACACGTTTATTTACTGGGAAAAAAGTTCAAAAAAAAAAAAAAAAAAATTACTGGGAAAAACATAATTGGGGATGATCAGAGTAAACTTTTCTTTGACTATGCCTATGGTTGATTGGTGGATGCTTCAGGCAAATTTTTTATTATTATTATATTATTATTATTATTATTATTTGACTATTTGTTGATAGTACGCGTTTATCCAAGATTTTTTACCCTTATGTTCGGCTTGTTGGTGTTGAGACTAGCAAATGAACCGAATTAGGATTTCACCCCCTCATGCCGGGCTGGAGGCGATCGTTTGGGCTTTCAATTTGGACTTTAAAAATAAAAAATTGTAAATAGGGCTTCATATTTGAAAATTAGTATAGAATCTCTCAATATTTTGAGATTCTCAAGGCGGCGTTTATGTTACATGAGTCAATTTAGAATTTACACTTATGCTATGTTCCCTTGAGCTCAATTTGCTAAGGATGTTTATTCAAATTCAAACAAATTAGCTAACTCAAATAGGCTAGAATATATCTATATCTATATCTATACTATTATTAAATATGCAAAGAGTTTCAGTATTTCATATTTCAGTGTTTGTTTATTAATATAAAAAAAGAGTTTTTATAAATAAAAAAAAAAATTACCTAAAAAGTATTTAAAGAGTTTAATTCAAATTACAAATTACCTAATAAAATTCATTTTTCTTATACAACATCGGTTTTGAGTTATAAAGGATTATATGGAAGTCTCTTATAAAACTAAAGATCTAAAGAAATATTAATCACACCAATCACACCTTTTTCAGCCTTTTAATTAAGATCAAGTGTAGTATTATATTTTTTTGGATCGGGTCAACTAGAATAGCTTGCTCTTTTTGGCTAACCAATCTCGGCCATTTGGCTAAGATCAAGTGTAGTAGTAAAGTTTTTAGGGTCATTTTTCTTGTCCCACATCATTTTTGAATTATAAAGGATTAGATGAATGCCTCTTATAAAACTATAGACATAAAGAATTATTAATCATACATTTCTCAGCCTTTTGGCTAACCTTTATAGACAAAGAGTTTCAGTATTTATTTATTAATATAAAAAAAGAGTTTTTATAAATAAAAAAATACCTAAAAATTATTTAAAGAGTTTAATTCAAATTACAAATTACCTAACTCATTGAGGAATGGGTATAAAAATTAAGAATATAGAAATCCAGAATTGCAGAGTAAATACCGTATTTATTTATTTATTGATATAAAAAATATTTATTAATTGATATAAAAAATTTTATCTATACTATTATTAAATGTGCAAAGAGTTTAAGTATTTAAGTATTTATTTATTTATATAAAAAAAATATTTATTAATTGATATAAAAAGAGTTTTTATAAAAGAAAAAACTCTATAAACTCTAAAATCTACCTAATAAAATTTAATTAACCTATTTATCTATTTATTGTTATGAATTTTCAATAAAAGAAAATCTAATTAAACAAAAATATTTATTAATTGATATATATAATAAAATAATTTTTCTAAAACTCTACCACAAATTAGCTTCTATTATGAGTTTTTTTTAATAAAATTATATCTAATTAGACAAGCATATATTTAAAGAAAATAAAATAATTTCTATGAAACTCTATCACAAATTACCTATTTTATTTTCAATAAAACTCAATCACACTAGACAAAGATATATTTAAAGTTTCTATAAAACTCTAACACAAATTACCTATTTATCTATTTATTATTAGTTTTTTAATAAAAGAAAATCTAATTAGATAAGAATTATTAATATAAAAATATTTTTCAATTGATATAAAAAATAAAATAATTTTTCTAAAACTCTACCATAAATTATTATGAGTTTTTTTTTTTTAATAAAATGTAATCTAATTAGACAATAACTATTAATATATAAAAATATTTATTAATTCATGCAAAAAGAGTTTTTAAAAGATTTTCTATAAAACTGTAACACGTATTACCTATTTATCTATGTATAATGAGTTTTTTTTAATAAAAGAAAATATAATTAAACAAGAATATATTTAAAGAAAATAAAATAATTTCTATAAAATGTACCACAAATTGGCTATTTTATTTTCTATAAAACTCTATCACATTATCTACTTATTATGAGTTTTTTAATAAAATAAAATGCAATTAGACAATAATATATTTAAAGAAAATAAAATAATTTCTATAAAACTTTACTACAAAGTAGCTCTTTTATTTTCTATAAAACTCTATCACATATAACTTGTGTTTATCTATTTATTATAAATATATTTAAAGAAAATAAAATAATTTCTATAAAATTGTATCACAAATTACCTATTTTATTTTCTTTAAAATTCTATCACATATAACATGTATTTATCTATTTATTATGAGTTGTTTAATAAAAAGGCATATATTCAAAGAAAATAAAATAACTCTACCACAAATTACCTATTTTATTTTCTATAAAAGTCTATCACATTTGACAAGGATATATTTATAAAAAATAAAATATAACATAGGTCTTCCAAAAAACCATAAACTTCATATGATAAATTTTTATATCAATTTCAATCTAATGCATGATTAGTACATTTGAATTTCTATTTTAAAATTTAATTAACAATTTTTATAATTGAATTTCTATTGTAAATTTAAAATTATACTAAATTTCAAATTACAAATTACCTAATAAAATTCAAATCTATAATTTTATATATATATATATATAATTTTTATAATATTATCTAATAAAATTCAAATTACCTAAAATAATTTATTACTTTGCAAAACTCAAAATCTACCATTAATTTCAGTATTAAAATATTTTTTTTAATTAATAAAAAAATAAAATATAAATATTTCAGTATTAAAATAAAAACCTAAAAGAATTTATTAATTTACAAAAATCAAACTCTACCGCCAAATATTTGCTAAAACCTTTGTAAATTTTGTTTAAGTGTTTTTTTATCTGATTTTGGTACAAGTAGATACGGCATCACTTAAAACCAAGTGAGTTTCCCAAAGAGATATTGACTTTTCATTAGTCCATGGACTTGTGCGTTTCTTTTCTATTTTGGTAATTTTCATGGGTTTGGGAAATTGAGGTTGCTATCAGATTGTTGTGATTCTGTGTTCCATGCTTGGGATTTTTTTTTTTCCTTTCCTTACTAATTTTCCTTAACCAGAATTAAAATTTTAAAAAATGAAGATAGCTAAAAAAGGTAAATTAAAACAAATCATGATATTAAACAATATTATCAACAAACAAATAGGTAGATATAAATGTGTTAAAAATTAACGTTTTGTTTTTCAACACATTAAATTTAATCGGGCTAAAATAGATAGATATAAATGTGTTAAAAACATATATAATTTTATTGAAAAGCGCTATAATACGGTGAGATTACATTTCTGATAAAGGATCCAAACAATTGCAATCTTTGGGTGTGTATATCAAAGTTTATATATATATAATAACTTCACAGATAGCTAAAAATCCAGCCCAAAAAAAAAAAAACTGTCCTAAAACCAGCCCTAGTTAAATCCGTTCTTAATATTGCCCTTCAAAGTCCTAAACCAGCCCAACTATTTGCTTTGCTTTAAATGAGGGTGAAAAATGTAAACAAAATTACTTCAGTTTAAATAGTAATATGAAGTGAAGATTAATCCTTATCTGCACCTTTCCTTCACAATTGAGACAAATCCGCATTTGGATTAATCCACCTTTCCAATAAAATTGGATTAATCCGCATTTACTTTCCTATTTGGCACTTAGAATTAAACTGTCACCATTACTTTTATGATATGCAATTAGTATGCATATACCACTCTCCAAGCATCGTACCAGACATGTTTTTATTGTATCACATTACTAGTCCAAGCACATATTAGGCATTTGGAGGGGGTGAAACAGTATTTACCAAAAAAAAAAAAAAAAAAATTGTTCTTTTATGCAATTCGATTTGTATAATATCATCAATAATTGACATAAACATTTTAATTGTATGTGTGTGTGTGTATATATATATATTTTAAATAATACTTTTATGCTAACTCTCTTATTAGAAGAGTAGTGAGCTCTTTTTAATTACTTAATCATTGAATTAGATTTACTTATTTTTTTTAAAATATATGAAGAGTCAAATAAATTATTTAATATATCTTTTAATTCAATAATTAAATAGGAGAAATCCTGACTCTTCTCCCCGGTGTTAGAAGCATTATTCTTATATTTAAATGTTCTCCGGAGTCGGTGACCTAGCTCTATCCTTTGGAGTAGCTCAAAAAGACCGTGGGACCCTTCTTTCTTGCATTACTCCAAAATGGAAACAAGAACGCCCAGTAAATGAGATTGACCATGAATGGCAGTACGTCCTCTTTAAGTCTTACCCATATTTATTTCCTTTCCTAACATGCTCCCGGTATAAGATTTACCACCCATCATTCCCACTATAAATAGAGTGTCCACACTAGCACCAACTTCATCACAAAGAAGCATTTCTAGCTAACTAAAACATACACACTATTATTGTTCTAATACATTGAAGTGTGAGAGATATGGAGAAGAAGATGATGACTTCCTCATTGTTTGTATTGGGGTTGGTGGTTTTGGCTATGGCTACAAGCCCTGTGGCTAATGGCATCACGTGCCAAGATGCCATATCGAAGCTGTTGCCATGCCAAGGTTACTTGGTGGGTTTTTTTTCTATTTCGGTTCCATGTTGCCAGAGTGCTCAGTCTCTGAATCAGTTGGTTACTAACAAAGATGATCGGAAAGCAGTGTGTGAGTGCTTCAAAAAAGTTGCACCAGCTATTGGGGTTAACCCTGACAAAGCTAAGCAGCTTCCTCAGCTTTGCAACATCACTCTCTCTGTACCCATTGACTACAACACAGATTGCACAAAGTAATATATATATCTCTCTCTCACACACACAAACACACACTTCATTTTACAATATATATATCTGACTCAAATTGACTTTTTTTTTTCTGTGTCTTAATTTTGTGACATGTAGGGCTTGACTGGTTGGTGGAAATTCTCGGGGAGAAACTAGCTAGAAAGGTTTCCTTATATAGTAAAATAAAATGCGTGGCCTGATATAGCAGAATTTTTATTATATTTATCATGTCAAGATAGCAAATATATTCTAGCTTCTTTCTTTTTTTTCCCTTGGTGAACGATCCTTTTAATTGTATGAACACAATTACTAAAACTCTTCGTTTCCTAATCATGTTCTCTGGGATTTCTGTTATTCAATTCTATGCTATATTTTGGAAATCTTCCATGTTTTGCAACAATCAATAACTTGACCTCCATATTTGCATGGAATATGCAATTAATCCAAGCACTCCAGTCAAGTTCGAATGTGTACAATACATACACACATATATAATAATTTTTTGAAAACTGCAAGGGTATTTACGAAAAGATGCATTTATATCCTTCAAACTTTTGGCTTGATCAAGGGATTCTCTTACGCATCAATTTATTGGGAATTTCTGAGCCTTTGTACAGATCACAAATTTAAGTACATAATACCATTAAATTAAACAAGCAATTGACCTTCCAAGTGCTCATAAATTGGTTCAGTTTCACATGCATTGACCAATGATGATCTCGGGACAGACACGTACACACACACACAGCAATACCACCTAAAATTAGATTGTCAGCCTCTCTATTCAGAGTTTACTTGAGAGTCAATATTTTCAGCCACTGCTAGAGCTTTCCCAATTTTATAGTGAAGAGCTGAATTTGAGGAAGATTCGTTAAAATCATCCTATTTATTTATTAATATAAAAAAACAATTATATAAAAAAATTAATTTAAAGAGTTTAATTCAAATTACAAATTACCTAATAAAATTCATTTTTCTTGTCCCACATCGGTATTGTGTTATAAAGGATTATATGGAAGCCTCTTATAAAACTAAAGACCTAAAGAAATATTAATCACACATTTCTCGGCCTTTTGGCTAACCTTTCTCGGCCTTTTGACTAAGCTAAATTTTTTTAGGTCGGGTCAACGAGAGCAGCTTGCTTATTTTGGCTAATCTTTCTCGGCCTTTTGGCTAAGATCAAGTGTAGTACTAAAGTTTTTAGGGTCATTTTTCTTGTCCCATATCGGTTTTGAGTTATAAAGGATTACATGAAAACCTCTTATAAAGCTATAAACCTAAAGAAATATTAATCACACCTTTATCAGCCTTTTGGTTAACCTTTCTAAGCAAAGAGTTTCAGTATTTATTTATTAATATAAAAAAGTATTTTTATATAAAAAAAATACCTAAAAAATATTTAAAGAGTTTAATTCAAATTACAAATTATAAATTACCTAATAAAATTCATAAAAATTAATCTATAAATATTTAAAGAGTTTAAGTCAAATTACAAATTACCAAATAAAATTCATAAAAATTAATCTATATCTATACTATTATTAAATGTGCAAGTTCAGTATTTATTTATTAATATAAAAAAGAAATTTTTATAAAAAAAATTACATAAAAATTATTTAAAGAGTTTAATTCAAATTACAAATTACCGAATAAAATTCATTTTACTTGTCCCACATCGATTTTGAGTTATAAAGGATTACATGGAAGCCTCTTATAAAACTAAAGACCTAAAGAAATATTAATCACACCTTTCTCAACCTTTTGGCTAAGATCAAATGTAGCACTAAATTTTTTTGGGTTGGGCCAACTAGAGTAGCTTGCCCCTTTTGTGTAATGTTTCCAAAATTTTTCATTTTTCAATTTCTGGAATTTTTCGTTTTTCGAGGGGTATTTTTCGTCTTTTCTTGTTTTGCGTGCCGGACACCGTGGGATGTGCCGGGTGTGTCCGAGAATTGATTGGGATATTTGTTTAAGTTTAGGACTCCTAGAAATGCAATGTTTGTCATTTTTGCATTTTTCGTTTTTTGGGCCGAACGGTCCCGTGTGAGACCCACTACCGAAATTGTTGCATACGGAGAGTTTAGTTGGGTCCATTGGCATCTCATGCATTTTACTTAATGTGATTTATGTGGGTTTTATATAGGTTGTATATTTATATATATATATATATATATATATATATATATTTATGTGGTGCAAAAGGGAAATTAAAATAAAATAAAAAAATTTTGGTGGTAGGACCCACCACCACCTTTTAAAACCAAGAGACCATTTAGGCCTCACATTTCCTCTCTCATTTCTCTCTCTCCCGTAACTCTCCCCTCTCTTTCTTCTTCTAGACTTTTCTTTTTTCTTTTGGGTTTCAATCTTTAATTCTTGATTTCTCCTTCATCATTTGGAGCAATTCCTTGTTTGGTGCACCCTCAGAATTTCGTGATCTAGGGCACAAATTGAGGGTTTTTGCTTGTCTTGAGGTAGGGGTTCCTAATTCCCAATTTTTTGTTCCCTTGTGAATTTTCTTTCAAAATTTGATGTCAAGCATGCTTGATTTGAGTTGATTGCCTTTAAAATGATATAATTGTTGTATTTAAAGTTTATGATTATGTGTATTGATGAAATTATGTGATAAACATACCTAAATGTTAATTTTCATACCTATGGTGTTTATTAATTTCCTAGAAATTGATATGAAGAAGTATATTAAATTATGTAGTATTAATTTCCTTTATTTTCATATTATTGGAAAAGTATGTAACATGCATTCATGGCATTGAGCATGAAAGAAAAGGGCAAAGTGATTTGAAGTGAATGAAAAAAGGGTTTTTGGTAAAAAAATTTGAGAAAAGGATTTTGTGAAAACCTGGATGACAAGGGGATGCTGAGGGTCCGTAGTATTAATGTAGCCTAGAGGGAATTAGGGAGATCGCCCTAGCGTAGTTGAGCTATCTGACCCCAAATGACGTCGCGGAGTTACCAAGGGTCAGGGACAGTAGCCAATTCTTCTCTCGTGTCGCCAAGGAGGTACCGAGGGATGGGTTATATTAACGGTTTGAAAAGTGAAGAATTGAAGTGAATTGTGTGACGCCCTGGTTTTTAGGCCAACGCATCTTGTGATGAACCGAACGTAGATCCGATAACGAATCCAGAATGCGGAAGCAAGAAACAAGACAACGGTCTCCTAAGGTACAACACATCTCTAAGACACTTTGATGACCTTCCATGAGGTCGTGGAACTCAATGAGAACTGACGCGGAAGTAAAAGATCAGAAATATGATAAATAAGCCCCCAGGGGCAAAATAGTCATGTTACATGAAAATGACGTCCCTAGAATGTATATTATTCCTGAGACACATCCATGACTTCCCGTGAAGTCACGAAACTTAAAAGAAAGTAGCGGAAGCGAATTACAAGAAAACCGGACAAAAATAGCCCCAAGGGCAAAATAGACATTTTTAAAAATATAGATTCGAGTGTTACCGAGTACAATGGAAATACAATGAAAGATTAATCAAGATGGTCTCAAGAATCGCATGATTCGGAGTCCGGACGAAGGAGAAATGAGAAAACAACGAAAAACAGACATACAAAGCAAAAAGGATAAATTGGTAATTATTCAGGAAGATCCGGGTGCAACCGAGCACACCGTTGGAAATAAAGCAAAAAAATAGTCAAGTTCAAAAAAAAATTTACTCGATTTGAAGTCCGGACGAGGGAGAAAGGTCAAAAATAAAAAGAGGGTCATGACAGCTACAGTGTTGCCGACCCATTACTGCTGCAACTGAGAGTAAAAACGGATATCTAAACGGACTTTTTTGGAAAAAAATCAAAGAAGAACCCCCCCCCCTCTAAAATCAAGTTTTTTACCTGGCTACATGAACGGAAACAAAAAAAATGCATTATAAAATGACCAGAATGCCCTCAAGAAAATCAGGTCAATAGGGTAAAAATCCTTTCGAGCTGCTGCCCAAGGAAGGAAATAGGGCTTCGGGAGGTTTTTAAATTACCTAAATTGAAAATGCAATCTTAAAATATACCCACAAGACCCTCGGAAGTTTCGGATCGGTCGTCACACTTTTCAAAAAAAAGTCGATGAATAGTACCAAATACACTTGTATTAAAAATCAGCAAAAACTTGGCAGCAAAGATTTTTTGGAAAAAAAATGGGTTTTTGAGGGCCAAGATGACGTTTTTTGGAAAAACACAAAGAAGAAACCCCCTCCGAAATCGAGTTTTCTACCCGACAAAGCGGGCAAAAAAAAAAAAAAAAAAAAAAAAACATTATGACATACCCAAAATGCCCCTGAAACAGAATAGGGTAAAAACTCAAAAAAATGCAACCTTAAGTTTTTGTTTCATCAAGAAAAGTATTGGTTGCCAAAATGAACATGCAAGCATATGTAATATGATAAAGTAAACGTACTACAATGGCCTACGACCTTATGGCATGTTGTATGTAAAATATGACCCTTCAATGGATGAAATTTCCTAACTTCCATAAGCAACAATGAAGTTAAAAATTTGCATACATATCACATAAGTGTCTTTGGCCCTTGGCCTTATTACATACAAGTCAAATACATTGCATAAAGTGTACTTATGTATACATTACATAAATGGAATCAAATACATACATTTTGACAAATAAGGCTACAAGTGGCATTTCAAGCCAACATTTATAAGAATTAAAACCTTCAAGTCTACAATCATCCAAGCAATGATGAACATCACGAACCAAGTCTTCGTACCTGAACCAAAACCCCTAGTAACTTCGGGGTGAGTAAACAAGTTTACTCGTAGGGAATGAATATGCATAGACTCGATTTCTTCACAGATTTTTACATTTACTTTGAAACAATTCAAAAGGATCATGCCACCTAACGTCTAAAGTGAGACTCATAGAGTATCCTAAACTACCTTATATCATTCCTAGCATAAATCATGTCATACATGCAATTCAAACAACATAGAAGCATGTTAAACGAAACAACAAGATATAAATTCTCAAAGCCATCAACTTGAAATGAAGAACGAAATCAAACAAAGTAGATACTTGAACGTCACGTCGGATCAGACCGACACCATAGTTACTTTAGGGTTACCAGCCCACGGGTAACCTCCCTATG